TTTTTTTTTTTTTTTTTTTTTTTTTTTTTTTTTTTTTTTTTTTTTTTTTTTTTTTTTTGGGTATGGAAAATTATTAAGGGATGGGATGAGCCACCAACTCCCACATATTTTTTCAAGAGCCTTATCCAATCCATATAGAAAATAAATAAATAAATAAAATCAGAATTTGTTTGATATATCACTGTCTCTAAACGAGAGCTCTAAAATTCCAATCATTCATTCGTTTGGATAAAATAAGTATCGAAGTTGGAGTTTATCTGATTAGCTTTAAATGGAAAAATAATGTCCCAAATATCTCTCTTATTTTGTTACACGTCACATAATCTAACAGTTCAAACTCATACATATAATTTAACAGTTTAAACCTACCATTAATAGATATTGTATATTTTTTAGTCTGTTATTTATCACTTTAGTCTCACAATTTTAAAATGCATATATTGGACGGAGATTTTCACATTTTAATAAGAAATGTTTCATTCCCATTTTCAACTGATGTGAGATCTCATAATTCACCCTCTTAAAGGTCCAATGTTCTCGCTCACACACCATCCGATGTTGGGCTTTGATACCATTGTAACAGCTCATGCCCATCACTACTAGATATTATTCGTTTTACCCCAGTACCTCTATTAATCGCACGATTTTAAAATGCGTTCGTTAGAGAGAGGTTTCCATGCCCTTATAAGAAATGTTTCGTTTTCCCTCTCCAATTGACTTGAGATCTCATAGATAATACTGGGATGACTGTAATTATAATGTATATGACCTAGACCGGACTCTATTCTGATTTTTCTTTATAATTTTTTTATTATCATTTACATTCTAATAATTTTTTTAATAGAACAACTAGGAAATTAAGAGTACATATTAATTACTGTTGAGTTGAAGTTTATGATATGTTTCTTTTCGACCCCTTTTTTTAGTTTAATAGTTATTTGAAGGTATTTGATTATTTTGACTTAGTTGAGTGGAGTGATATGATTATCCCTTTAATTTGAATGGATAAGATCATTTCAAAGATATTTGTAAATATGTTATTTTGTATTATTTATAAGTATCATATTATCGATTAAAATATTCTATAAGTAATTTAGATAAATTTTGGGTTTAATGGGAGGATAGAAATTTACCCATTAACCTCAATTGCATCTTAACTTGTCTTATATACCTCTAATTGCACTTATGTTGACGTCTTACTTACATTTGATCAGACTCAAGAATTTCATCTTGACTTATTCAACTAAAAAAGTCTTTGAGATGTTGCTCGTTCTCTATGGCTATGGAAGACAGTGACAAAAATTTCAAAATATTAAAATAAAAAAGGTTTACCTAATGTTTGAAAAAAAAATCAAAATTATCGACCTTCTTTGATATGAACCAAAAGACATCAATCATACAATATACTTCAATGAAGATGTGAAGAAAAGGTTGTCAAAATTATCAAAAGATGTTTCAATTCATGCCACATTGAAGAAGAATGAAGTTTGATTGTTATAAATTTTGGGTGGGTTACAATTTAGAGTTATTGTATTTCATTTATGTATTTTAAGACTTTATTTACTATAGGTTACAATTACATAATGGTTAATTATGGCCATTAAGTATGAATGTTACAACTCTTGGAATGACTTTAGTAGTTTCATTTTGAGGCTATATAAAGCCATGTATATTGTATGTGTAGGTAGACTTGAAAAATATAGTAAAAAGAAGCATTTGTGCTCTTCTTTAGCCAATGACTAAGTTTCTTTGCAATTCTATGTAGTTTAGGTTGCATGTAGAATCATTCAAGCTCGACGTGATCAATGTTGCTTGTGGAGTGATTCGAATCTCAATCAAGCGTTCTTGTCTTGAGATATTTGATCAACAAGAATCATTCAAGCTAGACATGATCGATCTTGCTTGTGGAGTGATTCGAATCAGTTTCAATTCATGCCACATTGAAGAAGAATGAAGTTTGATTGTTATAAATTTTGGTTCATATCATTTTTAATCGAGAAAATGTAATTTATTTATATTTAATTAAAATAAGCTCAATTTTTTTTTTTGGGTCATTTAGAAATGTACCAAAATTAATAAACCAAGGGAAGTTCACGTGTATCATGACATGTCCTTTCCTTCAAATAGAAATCAGTTTTTGTTTAGAATTTATTTTTATTTTTATTATATAATAAATATTTGCATGCATGTTTCTTGGCATTTAAACTTGTTGTTTAATAATTTAATTTTCTTCTAGAATTAATTAATTAATTTAGTGTTATATTTTTATATAATAAAATAAAGCCACAAACAACTATATTATTAACCAATATTACTATGTCAAACTCGAAAATTAAAAAAAAAAAAAAAAAGTAATTTTGGAAAAGAAAAATAAACAAAAAAGATTATGTTTTATTTTTAAATAAAATGAAAATAGTAAATGGCTGAGTAACTTGCAAGTTTGAGTTTTTTTTTCTTTTTTAGGAATGAAAAAAAGGAGGTTGAGTTTTACACTTTTACTCGGTCAAATTAGATATAAATCATATTATTACCGTGTTATTAAGTCGGATTAAATTAATTAATTAATGGCATGTATTTTATTTTGTTTAATTTCTTAATTTGACTGACCCGAACCGTGGGACCCATCCAAATCTGTCTCGACCCTTCCCCGCCGTTGCTGGGCGCTTAGAGATATAAATTTAACGCACTCGATTCGTTTTGCCGTCACTACATCCATTGCTCCAACAACGATCCAATTCTGGCTCCAATTCATCCTCCATTAACGGACCTCCATTTTTGCAGTCCTTCCATGGCGGTGTCGATTTCAAGGTGAAGGCTACAACGAGGACCACTCTATTACATTCCGGAATGGTGTGCAATAAAAGGAGGAGAACTTCGACAAGCACCGGCGCCGGGATTTCTGATCTCTTCGACAGTTTGCCGGACGATCTTGTTGTCGTCGTCCTTGGTAAACTTAGCGCCGCGGCTTCTTCTCCTTCCGATATCGTCAACGTTATGATAACGTAAGAATCGGCGTGTGATTCGCCTAATTTGTGGTTTGTTTAATCTCCGAGTTTGATGTAATTTTCGTTTTGATGTTTATGTGAAATTTTGTTGGCGATTTATAGATGTAAAAGATTGAATCGATTGGCTCTGCATCCGTTTGTGTTGAAGAAAGCTGGACCTAAAGTATTTGAAATTCAAACCATAAATTGGTCCGAATCAAGTCATCGATTTCTCAAATTGTGCGTTTCTGCCGGCAACGTAGAAGCCTGCTATACTCTTGGAATGGTTCGTGTAATTGTTTGATTTCGTCTCTGCAATTTCAAACTGAGTTGATTTTTGGATCTTAATTCGGTTGTGTTTTGTTTTGTTGTTTCATTTTTTGCAGATCGAGTTTTATTGTTTGAAGAACAGAGGTAGTGGAGCTTCGTTAATGGCGAAGGCAGCGATTAAATCTCATCCGTTGGCGCTTTACTCCCTCGCCATCGTACAATTTAACGGAAGCGGTGGCTCAAAGAGCGACAAGAATCTCCGTGCCGGTGTGGCTTTGTGTGGACGTGCCGCTTATCTCGGTCATATCGACGCGCTTCGTGAACTAGGCCACTGCCTTCAAGACGGTTACGGCGTCGCTCAAAACGCATCCGAGGGACGTCGTCTTTTAATCGAAGCCAACGCGCGTGAGCTCGCGTCTATTACAAACTCCTCCCTCCTCCGTCTTCACTGCTGCGGCGACCGCCCTCCCGCGACGGATTCCAGCGAATCGCTTCTCAGTGACTTCGGCTGCAAATTTCCGGCTCCAGAGACTCATCCGGCGAATCAGTTTTTAAGAGATTGGTTCGCATCGGGCCGAGGATTTATCGCTGAAGGACTGAGACTCTGCTCAAACAGTGGCTGTGGAAGGCCAGAGACACGGCTCCATGAATTCCGGCGATGCTCGGTTTGTGGTAATGTAAACTATTGCTCGCGAGGATGCCAAGCTCTGGACTGGAAACTGCGGCACAAAACGGAATGTGCGCCGTTCGATCGGTGGCTGATTGAGGACGATGACCTGGAAGGGGACGACGACGGCGACGTAAATAGAATAGAGCAGCTTGGAGACGGTGAGGACGTGGAATCTGAATAATATTTGATGATTAAAAGCAAAGCTTAGTTCTGTTGCAGAATATCAAGTTATCCTTTTAAGGTTCTATTTATTTTATTTTTTTACCCTCCTCGTCTTTTTTTTCCTTTTTTTTTTTTTTTTGTCTGTATAGCTACAGTTATTCTTCTTATTTTTTTAAAATTTTCTATCTACTTTAATATTTAGAACTTTAAATTAATAAAAATATAACTTTCAACCCTTCAATATTACACTCAAATTTTAGAAAATGTTAGTATTTTATTTTTAAAATATAAAAAAATACTCTTAAATATTTTTTAAAATTTTAAAAATACTCTTAATTTAAAAAATAAAAAATAAAAACATTCTTCATTTAAAAAAAAAAAATTAAAAATATAATTCATAGTAGATGTAAATAATTTATTTTTACTTCATGAATATTTTTTTTTATCAGAATTTCCTGGATTTCAACCTATGGCTCAACCATTATTTTATTCTATCTTTTTTTAATATCATGATTTTAGATAAAATAAATATATAGTTTTTTTTTAATTTAATTTATGTTATTTTGAGTTTTAATGGAGTCTTTCATGGTCAATATATTAAAATCTAAGTCAACCAGTATTTTAAAATACTGTAATTAATAAAATATTAGTTCCATGTTCGTAGATTCAATGTTCATGGAGGCAAAACATTGTTGGCAAACACTACAAATAATCAATTTTGTTTTTTACAATAAAATAAAACTTAAAATGATTGTGTTTTTTTATAATAAAATAAAACTTTAAACTTCAAATAATACTTTAAATGCCACATTTTTTATTTTAATCATTTTAAAGCTTCCAACTTTAATCATAACTATGCCCTTAAACGACAAAACAAAACAAAAAAAATTATTACATTTTTTATACTACTTTTATTTTATTAAAAACAAATATTTAAAACATAATTTTTTTAACATTTATGTTTTTCCTACTCAATTACATTTTTGTCCTATCACGAAATTCATGATAAATATTTTTTAATTTTAGCTTATAACTTTTGGTTAATTGAATCTCCAGTTAGATTGTGTTGATAAAACTAACTTCTTGGATTGCAGGAAAATAAGAAAAAAGAGAGACAAACTCGTGAGAACTAGAAAGATTCCGATGCACGAGTCAGAGGACGTGAGCCGTGCAATAGATATAATTTTTTTTTTAATATTAAAATAACTTTTAAAAGTATGGACATAAATAAATAAAAATAAAGTTATAATTTATTATTAGAAATAAAATGACGAGAAAGAGAGCAAGTATTTAGCAATTGCAACTAATCTTGCTATCGGCCCATTTTTAAATGGGCCAACTTAGAACAAGCCCAATACACGATTTGGGCCACCACTTTATTTTGGGCTATTTGATTTTATCCTTGACAAAGAAAAGGCCATTTCCGTCCGAAAATTATACTAAATTGTTTACTATATTTGCAAATCTACCCCTCAGAAAACAAATTTGCAAACATGGTACAAAAGTTTTTTTTTTTTTTTTTTTTTTTTTTTTTTTT